ACTAATACGAATAACGCATATTATGAACCTAATTATTCACTTGTTACTGTACCTTGCTATTTATAGACAAGAAGTGAAATAGATCAGTGAATGGTTCAATTAGATAAAACAATAAGATATAATTTCACAAAATATTATTTCTCTGGATCGATTAAATCAGTACTGGAATAAAACGGATTTATTTTTTAACAAGGGAAAAAGTAAAGGTCGAAATAATATTACATTAATTTTAGTAATATCTTACAATTTCAGGCAAGCGAGAACTTGGAGCTTAAACTTATATGTATATATATATATATATATATGTTCTATATTTAAAATAACCACACATATATGTACGCATTAGTTTTTAAAAAATGTATTATCCCAATATAAAATTACAACTAACGAAATTATTTATAATTAAAAACATTTCCATTAATATTGATATATTTATTTTATATTCTCAAACTCCACTTCTCTTACGTTAAAATACGTGGAATATCTCAAAAATTAAGTTTTCCTGAAAAGGGGATACACCTATTTTTGAAAAAATTATTAATTAAATAATATCGACAAAAAGAATATATTTTTGATATGATTAAATGTCATTTTCGTTTTTATATCCTTAAAATATGAACTTTTTTTAGTTGTGCTGATTTCTTTTAAGCACCCATTTTAAATTCTGATAATTTTGACGATTGTTTATGAATTAGCTAAATTATCATGTTTGAATCAAAACGCCAAGTAAAACACAGAGTCATAATAAAGTCATAATAAAGTCATAGAAAGTCATAATCATAGAACGTCATTTGATATACAAGAATGAACTTATAACAAATAAGGTCATGATGATGCTCTTTGATATTATTATGATTTCTGTGTTCTACTTGGAACTGTCTAACAACAAGACTTAAGGCGATATAAAGATGACTTCATAGTTTCCGTAAGTAGTACAAACATCGTTAGAAACATATTGTCTCTAAGGGGAATTACTTTGAAGGACAATAAAGAACATTTATATATTAATTAAGTGGTGTTTATTTTGTCATAAGATTCACCGAACTTTATTGTCACATTACGTATTATAGGTATATAAATAAGTTCCTGCAGTCAACTTCAAATACCGATGACAATGGTGCATTTAAATTTCCGCGCCAAATTATTTTTCCATTAGTAAAGTCAACTAACTTGCATCTTGAAAGCATTTTAAAATAATAAGAATTCGTAGTTGGACAATTAATTACATTTTTAATTTAATGAAAATGAACGCTGAGAAAAGATGCATATTCTTCATTTGTACGTTTCACCATTTTTATTACGGTAAAAACCGCCACTGAAACAACCACAATAATTTGCGAAACTTATGGAAACAATATTGTGTTGAAAAGAACGTGCCAAGAGATTGGTTTAAAAGATTTAAAAGTGATGATTTTTTAATGTGAACGATAAATCGCGCTGTGAAACTTTCCTTCACCGCACCCATATGCTGTGTGATAGATGGCAAAAAGTAATATTGTAGATTCGAAAGATAAATACTTTGAAAGGTAATTTGATTTTATTTTAAATGTCTACATCGTTTCTTTTAATTAATACATACATTTTTTAAAAATTGCAGGAACTTTATGTATCCTTATATATTACGCATAAAGATACCTTCAAACAGGAAAATTTATTTCTAAAAAAGTATAAATATCGTAAAAAAGAACGTGAAATAGTTGTTATATTTTTTTTATATTCTTCCTGCAATTTAACTGATGTAAACAGCGATATGACAGCGTTCGACTATTCTGCTTCGTGCGATCTCTTGAACCATACAATGCAGAACCATCCAGACCGGCGATAGATCCCTTCGAGGAGAACTTACGAGGGTGATCTATATAAGAACGTGGCGGAAGGCGGCCCGAAAAATTCTCATTTCTACATCGCCGCGCAATCGCGTTGATCGATGAGCGGCCGTTAAATATTGACGAGGTAGATGTAAAAAGTAGTGGTTTCCGCGGGAAACGGAACGGGGTGGATACAAATGAGGCTGCGGGGATGAGCAGCGTTATCTCGTATCCTGTGGGAGCTATTCGTCCCGGGGCCGCCCCTTTCTCCATCCTGTGCCACCGGCCCTCCCCCCTTACTATCGCCACCCCCGGCAACCCCTTCGCAGCCCCCTTGCATCCGTTTCTGATAAGCGAAGCGTGGAACCCCCCGTTACGGACTGATTCTTCGATAGTAACTCGCAAAGATCGTAATTGTTGCGATCTTCAAACGAGCGCGAAAAAGTACTAAGGGAAGAAACGAAAAACACGAGTGACTTTCACAGGGAATGCGATGTGAATAAGTAACTTTTTAATATATCACGCAAGAGTAAACGCAAACTAAAATCTTGTGTTAATTCGTTCTTATTACGACGAGGCAAAGTGGTAGCGTCGTTCCTGTCGTTTTATTATTCTTAATCAAAACCGTCGGCGCTAGATTAAATTTTCTTTGCGTTTGCGGAACGACGCCGCAGGTTATGAGATCCTTGTGAAAGAAACGAGGACGAAAGACGCGATAATAATAATCGTCGCATTTCAAAAGAAGACAGTAGACTAATTATGCTCAAAGACACTACTTTATTAACTCGTCCCCGAGACGGGGATGATTCATCTGACGCTTCTTAACGTTTCTCGTAGCAACGTCGATGAGGATTTCATAACTAAAAGAGACACTACTTTTATGAATTATTATTGTTATTATTACATGAAGGCTATATCTAGATCGCTATACTTTTAACGACAAATATAATTTATATCTATTTTTGTCACGTGGTCTTTTCGGCACTCGGATTATTTACTAATCAAATTAAAAATGTATTTCGTTATCTAAAATTTTGACTTGTCGCATGTAAGAGTAGATAGAAGTAAATAGATAAATTGGAGCAGTTCTAAGGAGTGCGAGAACACCACGCGAGATTACGGGATTGCGGCATGTCGGACCATACGTCGGCTTTACTACTGCGGAGGTGAGCAACTGGCGGTTCTCTTGTCAGGAAGGGGAAGTGAAAAATCCCTCAGATTCCCTCAGGAATCGTCGAGGTATCCTTATAAAACTGGCAGATTAGAGTGAGACGTGACGAGAGCGCAGAATCCGCTCTGAGTATTAAGAATCTCGATGATGCGAACGGTACGTATTACAAAATTCGTCAGTTACGTCTAGACATAGATAAAATTTAATCAAATATGTATTATTAATCAAATAAAAAGAACGATTTTGTTGAAATATCTAAAAGTTTAGATAGATACAGTCCTGAAAGTAATTTTATTGGACTATCAAAATAATTATGTAGGAAATTTGAGCATGATGGACAATGTTGCAAAAAGTTTTGGTATTTGAACAACTAACTTGGGCGTCCTACGTAATTATTTTAATAATTAATTCAACAAAATTATTTTCAAATCTGCATCTGTAAATAAATTTTTAGATACTTTAGCGAAACCATTCTTTCCGTGCAGGTTATTAAATATATATCGGAAAACAACTCAATCAATTTAATCTGTATATAAGATCTCCGTTCTAAATACAATAAAAGCATTAGCATAAGAAAGCAATTTAATATGTCAAACTCATGAGAAATGTAGGTCGGATTATAAACTGTATTGCATCATACATTTTTCAAGTAGCTCTCAAAGTATTTTCCGAATTCGATATAAAAGCCATTTATACACATGAAATAATTAATCAGTTACTGATAGCGATATAATAATAATAGTAACATTTAAAATGATATTTTAATAATAGTAATACTTAATCATTATAATTTTATGAACATCAAACTTTAGCGATAAGAAATGTTAATAATAGAGGAAAGTGTCAATTTACAGCTGACGTCTTTTTATACGTTGCGTATAATGACGTTACAAATTAAATTTTCAGATTGATAAAGTGCTTAGAAATTTCGTGTGTGTAACTTCATGCAATTGAATCTTTTTCCAAAAAGAATAGGATCGATTGCTTTCAGTGCGAACTAAGAGAAACGGAAACGAATAGTGGGCGTTGCAAAGGTTAAAAACAAATCACTCGATCGTTACAGTCAACAGAATTACGTTTATCAACATAAATTGTCCAATTCACTGTTTCAATTTGCTTTTTCAACTTGCTTCTAAAAAGAAGTATCACGCGCTCGAAATCCATACAAAGCTATAAAAAGTTATTGCAATGTGGAATTTACTTGGAGAGAGAATGATAAATAATATCTTTTCAAAATGTAGAATTGAGTATAATTCTTATAAAGTGTGTTTATAACGTACAAATGACATAAAAAAGAATTTACTCAAGCTAATTTCAATTTACTATTCACATTTGATACTTATTAATAAGTAATGTTATACATAAACATATCGTTCTCTTATCTCGCCCCAACTCGAAAAGAGTGATTTTTTTTAAGTATTGTGAAACAAACATTAAAAAAATGACGTTTAATTATGTTAAGAATACAATCTTTTTGTCGGCATTATTTAATTAATAATTTACAATATAATAATAATTTTCGGTCAAGTTAAATAACAGTTTTTCCCTCTTTCTGAGAAACTTAATTTTTTTAACCGTGTCACTTTCAAAGTAAGGGAGCGATGTGTTTGATAACATTGTGATTTATAATACGTAATTAAAATCATCACGTACGACACTTTAGTCGCAACATAGACATATAGATTCATGCATATCTACGACAATTTGTTCACCGTCCTTATCGCCCGATATCATTATTCATCGCTTGACTAAATACATTCCGTACTTAACGTAGTAATAAATCACCACCAGTCACGTAAGGCGAATCGTTGCCGCGAGCGCGGAAATAGCGCAGCCGAGTAAAAAAGCTGTTAAATATTCGCGCGAGGTACCTCGCTCGGGAAGGAACCCCCAGAGAGAATATTGCAGCGCGGATCGTCAGTGAATGAGACAACCGAAAGGACAGGGACGTACAAATGGTTGCGAAATCCCCACGAGAGTCGTGGGTCCATTAGCGCTGAAATCAACTTCATGAAACTCACCCTTCCCGCTGAAGAAGTCAGCACGGCTGCACATCGCGCATAGCGCGGCGGAGATCACCAGTAACGACCTGAAAACAATTATATTTCTCTCATCATTAATCACAGTAGTTTCTTGTGGCTTCGTGGTTTCATAAATGTTCGATAAAAGCTAATTGAGTAATATAGTATGTGAAGTTTATAGTTGAAAGAAGTGACGTTATATTTGATAAAGCTTTAGATAGACATCAATCAATTCAATAAATGAATTGTCCATTAAAAAAGAAATGAAATGTGTTAATTAACACTTATAAGTAATTTTTTTAATTTAATGAACAATATAAATAATATCCCTTACTTCAAAAGTAACACAATTTTTTAAATGTGATTTTCGAGTTATTACCATGAGTTAAGTAAAGATTGCTCTATCAACCATCAAAAGCAAGTTAATTTAATTATTTTCACAGTCCGTCAAATAGCACTTGTATCTTAAGGTTTTCAAAGAGATCATACCTTTCAAGAGTAACACATTTTTAGTCGTGTCGCTTTTGTGAAAAGGAGAGTCTTCTACAGAAAACATTTAGAGATAAGACAGGTTTGGTGATCGAAGTTTGAAGAAGAAATTGTTTTATTTTGAATTTAGCCAGTTTAGCTAATTAAGATAATTGTAAACTGTTGATGATATTTCAAGTTATATCATTTTTGATGAATTATTTTAAATTTGTTATAATTTTTCATGATATCAAATTGTTATCTCAAAAAGGATGATTCTTTAAGGGGTATAAAACGAAAATAACAAAAATATTTTGATCATGTTTTTAAGAACATTTTTTTGCTAATATTATTTGATTAGTCAATAATTTTCTGTAAAGTTGAAAAATATTTTTCCTCCTTTTCTAAAAAACTTAATATTTTTAATTGTGTTTGAAGTAAAGGATATAATATATATATAATATTATAACGCGCGCGAGTGTGATATAATATTAAATAAATAATAAATAGAGGACCTACATAATTATTTAAAGAACTTAAATACAGTTGCGTAAGTATTGAAACTTTGTTGAAATTACAAAAAATTAAACTAAATTTGTACTAAAAACTTGTTAGTATTAAATTGAGAGGGACGTGAATTGTTTCACGATAAGACACACATTGCAGGAGAATGTCATCGACTACCAAAAACAGGGCAAGCGTACCTTATGGCTGTTTCATTATTTTGGCATTATTGTCGAGGGTAAAGTGGCAACTAATACTAATTAAATAGAGATGGCTAACGGAATGTCGAGAACTGTTACAGAAAGGACGATTAAAAACAAAGGCAGAGGGCGACAGTCTTCTAAAAGATAAGGCCGGTGCTACAAAAGCTACGTGATCCCATGGAAGAAAGGCAATGAAATTAGCGCTAGAGCGATTCGAAATAACAGCGTCGCTCCCAAGCGGGGACAATAGGGATGCACTAGTTGCAGCATAACCAAGTTACGCGATACGCCGGATCAAGAGAAGTGGCCTTCGGTATTATGCCAAGCTTTACTTTGACACTCTCACGCTCTTTTGTAAAAGATGAAGCACGTGATCACGACTTTGTTGTGATGAGTTAGTTCTTGCTGAATAGGATAGTAATTTAGTTTAATATAACTTTATCCGTTCGCGCATCACCTTTAATTTAACGCAACGTAAACTATATCAGCTGTCCCATTTATTTAGAGTTTCCACGAAATTTTATTTTGTTCTTTCCCTTTCTCCGGTTATATAAGAATCTTAATCATAAATATAAAGTATCCTTAATTTGCATTTTCTTGGAAAATAAGTGTTAATTAAAAGCCGAAGGAAAAACTAAATATTCATATTTTATTAAAAAATTAAAAATATGAAATATTGAAATTGTTTTAAAAACACGGAAAGAATGGTTTAACTCAAGTATCTAAAATTTTAGCTAGATACAGGTCATAAAATAATTTTGTTAAACCATCAATATAATTATGTAAGACGTTCAAGCTGATTGTTAGAATATAACAATTTTTTGCAACATTGTTTTATGCTTGAGTTTTTTGTCCAACAAAATTATTTTCAGATCTGTATGTAATTAAGTTTTTAAGTATTTCAGAAAAATTATTTTTACCGTGTGTTAAATATTATTTTTCAATAAAACTTCTTTAATTCAGTTTTCATTCGATATGGAATATTTACATCAATTTGTAGAATTGTTTTCGTACTTATAACCAAAGTTGTGTTTACTATCATAATCAATTTGTTATATATATTGTTGTTAATACGTTTACTCTAATAATTATAACGTATTAAAATTAAATTAATCAAAGAAAAGATTAATCTCGTAGATTAATTTCGTAGTTCGTAATATTTTCTAACATTCTCTATTCTATCGTTACAGCATAAAATAACATGCTTTGGTTCAACTATTTTTATAAGTTATTCAGTACACCGCACCTTCTGCGTGACTCGTAGAAACGTAGATCGCAATTCGCTTGTCTACGCGCAATAAATCTCGATCCATCTTTCTCTCTCTCTCTTTCTCTCTCTCTCTTTCTCCCTTTCCCCGTATTATTTCCCGACTAGACTAAGGTCAGTGGAACATGAGGAACTCGGTAAGTGTGACAGGCATTTGCATCTTGGTTTGCACAACAGTCGGTGCGCACGTGGGCGTAGTCGGTCCGTCGATCGTGATTCACGATCAAGAATTCCTCGACTTGCGCAACAATCACGAACGCGAGGACGGCCGTGCCCGTCGATTTCGATTTCCATTTAACAAGGCCGTCGACCCCGCCTCCTCTCCCTTTCGCATTCAACAGGCATATGTTGACAAACGATTAAATTATCGACGCTGCCGAAGTAATCGACAAACTCGCATTCTGCATGTATATGAATGTCGAATACATATATATATGTATATGTATTATTGAAGCTATATCATTCATCGCTATCATAATATTCCGAGGGGGTAACCACTTAATGTAATCGTGGGACAGAGTTCTCGAAATCATTGTATAATATTAAATAAATTCATATATTTTACCAAAACGACTTCATATGTAGTGAAAAAAATTATTTGTAATCAGATGAAATCATATAATGTCATGTAATCTGTGGGATAATATTTCAGCTAGTGGTTACCCCCCCTCGTAATATTCGGAAACGTGTTGATCCATAAAATAAATAATACTAATTGCTAGAATATAAAATCTTTTTGTAGCATTGCTCATCATGCTTAAAATTCTACATAATAATTTTAATGGTACAAAATCTTTTTTCCGATCTGTAACTTATTTTCTGATCTCTAGATACTTCAACAAAATTGTTCCTTCCATGTAAAGAAATGTTTCAAAAATATTTTGACACACACACTATTAAAAATATTTTATTATATTTTATCATAATGCAATTTTCCTTCTGACTAATTAAAGATTTAATAATCAGGGCTAAGTATAATAAGATATATTTTTAAATAAAATATTAATTTAATTCATATAAAGTAAACAACACAAACAGGAAAAGATGTATAATATATCACATGAAAAAAATACTTGCAAACTGAATTTTTATCATTTTAATTTATCAAGAATTTAAAATATAAACAGTTATGCAGTATATTTTATCTCATGAATTTGATAAATATATATTCTCGTTAATAAATCTAATGTAGAAATTCATTTCGCGTGAAAGTGGATTAAATATTAATCTCATATGAAAAAGATGGAGCTGTCGATCAAACTACCATGAAAATATCAGTCTTTGAAATATTTTTATCGAGTAACGAATCGATGCAGCAATAATCTTCATAGCTAAGCTGTTTAGAAAAACGTGTCACGATTATCCCGAGAGATCTGGATTGCTTTTCGCAAGGTCATTAAATATTTTTAAAGCCTCATACAAATTTCATGAGAGCCCACTGCTTTTATAGAAGTTTAAGAGGTTACGCCGACTTTCGTTGAAGTTTATGACGTTTTATAAGGTCTCGTGAAATTTCCTAGGTTTCGTAGGAAGTAAGGATTTTGCGGAGCGTAAAACTTTTCGCAGTCTGTAAATATTGCATGTCTTCGCTAAGCTCCGTCCCGGTAAATACCACACAATTAAATATTGAGGATTCCAAAGATAATATTTCGATGATGCTAGAAAATATGATAACTCAAGCCGATACGAGAGTAATACTAAAAAATAGTTGACAAAATAACTTTATTGTCCTTTATAAACTTGCGTGTCTCGGACACTCGTTACACGTCGATTTCACGCGAGAGTGACTAGCTATTCGTGCATGTAATCGAAACATTGATAGAAATATATCAGACACAATTGAAGGATCTATTTTTAGCGACAGATTTTCTGTTCCTACACTTACTAAACGTGTGAATGCACTTGATGGGGTCATTGTTCTATTAATTTCTTAATTAGCTATGTGAAAAGATAGTGTGCAATTCATAGAAAAGACATTTCCTAGAAAAAGTATGCAACGATCTAAAATTTCATAAAAATTATTATGAATTTTATTATTTATTTGAAAAATATTTATTAAAATAGCCGTGCAACGAATAATTTTAATATCAAAATAATTATTTTTATCATTATATTGTGGCTACGTTAATTATTACAATTTTAATTTCTTTTTCAAAAATAAGATGTACATGAGATCAATCTGACGTTGAAGTATTTTTTTCCAGATTTCTTGTAATTATCAATTTACATTTTGTAATACATATCCACAGTATATAAACATTGTATAAAGTGTTAACACGTATCTTTAATAAATAGATAAAGAAAATTAATTATTATAATTCATTATTATATTATAATAACTTTATTATTTTTCCTCTAAGTTACGAAACATGTACTAAAATTATAATGATATAATTATTATCGCTAAATGATTAAGACTGACGTGAATGTTTCTGATTCGCGTAATCTCGTGTTACGCTGCGCCTTTTATTTTCTTTGATAAAAGAGTATCGGTTACTTGTGCGTGACATCAACGAAAGCACCGCAAGAAAAAGTAACTTCTTGTAGGAAAAAGTGGAATAAATCTCAATGCGGACGGAAAGTGGCCGTAAAAGAAAGTAGCAGAGAACCGTAGAGCGATAGCGTC